TGGTCAACAGCTGGACAACGACTAAGACATGACGAGACAAAATCCATAAGTCTGATCTCTCACGTCAATGGCTTGAATTTCGATCGTTAACAGTCATAAAGACAAGTGAGCTGCAACTCTGTGGGAGAACACATGCTTGGCTCTGTTCCAACGGAAGGATTTACATTGCCGATTATCAAGCAGATTTCAAGGACAGCTAACAGATAAAAGCCAAGTTTATGGACACACTTAAGAGGGACAGTGCTCCGTAAGGTCATAATTGCTGTTGCCCAGCTCTGCTTTACCCGACAGTCGCATCCGACGAGGTCAAAAGAGTGTTCCACATGATGGGTGCAAGGGCGGTGACTTGAGTGTTGCATCTACTGTACTCTTTCTTCTCTCACCTGCCCGTGCCCAGTGTCAGGAAGACCGGAGGGAAGGGGGGAGGTCGGGGACAAACAGTATTTAATCCCCCAATTCACTATATATCGAACCATACTAAATTTAGGTGAACCCTTCGATGAGTGCGATAAACTTCGAATAGGTGAGCCCAAGAGCTGGGGGTGACACGAAGGGAGAAGACCTCAAGTGCGGATGAACTGGCTCCACACAACTCGACACGGCAGTCTCAGCACGATAAGACAATTAAATCGTGGGTGAGGAGAGTACATTAGCAGCAGGGATGAGTCCTGGAAGAACACGAACAACAAACGCACATCGGACGCAAGAGGATCGTCGAAAATCATACAATGAAGAGAGCCAGAGATTGCCAAATCTACTGTGATAGACATAACATGGTTGTATGACGGCAGCGCTTACAAGAGTATCCCGATTGCGGGACAACAATGCGCAGTACCGTTTTGCTTTGAAGTGTCGGGTCCAGAGCCCATCGAGTAATGATAAGCAGCAATCAATGGAAAGTGTTGACAACAAAGACTTGAGACACTGGAATGGCTGTTTAGGGTTTATTAGCAAGCACCAGTCAACGATACCTCAGAAAGTGTAAATCCCCTGAGTAAAAAGTGGACTCATTCCCTGGCAACGGCGGCGTGAAAGGGGTCTAGGTCGAGGCAAATCAGAAATGTCAATTTTCATCTTGCAGTTAAGACAGATTGACCTTCCACAGTTCGACCTCGGCCAAACACGGAAGCAGAAGTGAACAGAGCGTTGGGCCCAGGCCCGAACCTCGGGTGAGTCAGCAGCTTCGGTTAATTTATCGCTGAATGATTAAGGCTAGTGATTAAGAAACAAAAGCTCCACAGTCCCTAAGCTTTATCGGCATCATTCCCCAAAAATGCAGATATGTCTATGCAGTGAGACAGTGAAAACATGGGATACAGTAAGGCGTAAAAAATAACGGACAGATCAGTAAAGGGCGTATTTCCCTTGAGGAGTAACGACTAACAGTCAGCAAGCAGCCAATCAAGCGACTGAAATCGAACTCAAAATAGCCGTTAAGGGGAACTAAAGGAAACAGAATAAAGAACCTCGTGATGCTGCCTATTTTAAGACATTCCCTTGCGAAGTCCAGGAGATCGACCGTTTTCCTGTGTAAGTGCACTCATAAGGGGAGTTGCGGAAACTTGTCACTCCACTTGATAGCGTTGATGTCTGTAACCTACGCCCTTTTGGGTTCTTGTGCAGAGGAGTGTTTTGCCTGAGATAGCAGCAGTTTTTAGATTGCACTTTTTGCCAAACAGAATAAAAAAGCACAAGACATTTTGACAAAAATAATCAGATTTATTTTTTTAACTCTCCAACGACTAGTAGTTGTTAAAATCTTGCCACCGTCAAGCATAATTTCGACAAATTGCGGGTGATTTGGGAGGCATGGCTGTACAAAAAAACCTCACGAGTGTTCAGTCCGAGAGTCACGCAAAACATTTTCGGACTAAACAATGAAAACAGGATAGGCTGCAGGAAGGGGACGAGGGGTGATTGGTCCGATTTCACGAGGGAACAATAACACAGCACAGGCAGGCTGCAGTTTGATCAGACGACAGTGGATCAGAATTAGAGCAGATTCAGCATTCAAGTATAGTAGTATTTACATTAGGATAGGAATTATTTCTGGGTCCGCACAATTACTATAGCTCGACGTCAATTCGGAAGGTCGGCTTACGTAACGGACTTACTCTGACGCTCGTCGAAATCCAGAGGACGACAGAGAGCTTCGAGAATGTCCCTAGTTGTCTCTATACCGAATTGGGATGTTTGAAATTGTGCGAGTGTGCAATCCCCTAAAAAGCAAACGCACATAAATGCTTATCAGTAGAAAAGTCCAGATGAAAACAAACACAAGAATTTGGTCAAAAATGTCAGTCCAGAAATCAATAACAAGTCTTTAATGAGCGAGAGCAGACAACCCTGGGAGACACAGTCCCGCCGATCAAGAGTAAAACCACGGTGACACATAGAACACCACAGCGCCTAAGAGGACAAATGCAAAAAGAAAAGGTTTGATTTGATTCCCGTTGCGTTTTGGGACTCAGCCTACAGCCCTGGCAGACAGTCGCATAGCGACCAATAATGATCCAGAAAGGCACAACAGGACGACCATGTGCGGTAACCTAATCGGTGAACACTGTTCCCATGATAGGGCATAGTCCCGGTGACAACCGACAGGTCAGTGAGCCCGCGATTCAAGGATAGAGCACTAAACTTTACGCTAAATTACCAATGAATCCAAGTTTCAATCTCAGTTTATTCAAACTGGGGGTTGAGCGTGGTCGGCTGACGAGGACAGAATCGACCTCCTTGGTACTGTCAGTGTATGGACCTTAGCGTTCCCTACAACGGACCACGCGATAGATGCGACGAAACAACACAGTGGCCCGATCAGGGCAAGAAAGGTCTGATTGGCGATGCGTATCCATAACAAATGCTATACGTGAGAGGGAAGGGTGAGGTGACAAGCCTAGGTGCAAACTCACACCGCAACATCCACTTGCGCTCTATCCCGTATCCAGTCACCTGGACTGTCTTCCCACCAGACCGAGTGAGGAGAGAGCGCTAAAGCTGATTTGTAACTCGAATATCATTAGAACCCACTTTGCCAGTCAAAGTTCGTGCGTCCGCGCTGTTCTGAGGCATGTGGTGCACATTGTCGGAACTTGTGTATGAGCCCCAGAACTGTTATTGCGACGGAAATAAGTTTTGGTAGCAATTATTCTTCTTGATCAATAAGTGTTACCGACAGACACTAGGCAGACTGGAAGGGACATTTCTGGCTTATGTGGCGACCTCAGCCAGCCACACCACAGACCATGAAGATTTGGGATTCGGTGCCCTAGGCCGTTGCTTTGGCGTCGCCTTGCAGGTGTAACGCCCAAATGTGTAAAGTCTGCTCACCTGGGCGCAAAAGCTACTTGCCCTGGTAATGACTCATTAAGTCAGAA